TTTGTGTGGTCTCAGCAGGTGCTTCCTCCCAGGGCTTTCCCAAGGGGAGAAGCCACCCTCCACCCCCTTCAGTCTTTCGGGTGAGCTGAGCTCTGGGCTCAAAAGAGGGCTGAGGGAGGGGCTGGGGAGCCTCTAGGTGGACACACATTTGCCTGGACGGCCCATCCTGTGGCAGAAGGTGGGAAGGAAAGGAGGCCTGGGGCAGCATAAGAAGTTGGTCTGAGGTTAAGGAGTCCAATCAAGGGGTCACAGCAGAGCCTGCCCATCCCTTCCAGGGACCTGAGGTACCCTGGTCCCTGAGACAAGGCACTTCAGGTGCTGTGTGAAGATGCAGGTCTGGGAGGAATCCAGGCACGGGGCAGGCCTGGTTCTAACGCAGGTACCTGGGTTGTGATGTCAGGGAGAAGGGCATCAGGCAAGAATAGGTGTGCAGATCAAGGGCCTGAGGACATGAAACCCCTGTGTGGGACGTGAGAGGATGAAGGCGAGGCCACAGCGTTGCTGGGAAAACCATGAGTCTGCTCCAGAGAAGGTGAGTGAAGTGGGTCCCTGGATGTGACTGTTCTACAGCTCGTATCTCTCAGAATCCTTAAGAACTTACATGAGGTGTGTTTCGCGAGTCCACGAAAACTGGAGTATGTCTGACCCTCTCCTCCTGTCCCATTGTAGCTTTTAACCATAATAGGTTCCCAGGTGAGCTTTGCAAAATCAGAGAGTACAGCCTTCCCAGGGTGTGCAGAAGGAGACTCCACCCAGGAAGGTCCTGTGGACACTCTCACCAGGGGAGAAGCAGAGGCACTGTGGGAGTCTCTGATGCCGGTCCAGACCCTCAGGCAGAGCTCCTAAGTGTGTGACCTCGGAGGCATGGTGGACCCTCTTGAGTTCCACCCCGGCTCTCCAGAGCCAGGTCAGGGCACACACCCTCCGTGATCACACAGGGCTGCAGCCTGAGGGAGAACGAGGCTGGTGGTCACAGTCAAGGGAGCTGAGGACAACCCAGTGACCAAGGAACATGCAGTCCATGGAACGTGCTAGAACATCTGCCCTCCATTCCCCCCATTAGAACCCCCAAACATCTGTCCCTGCCTGTGGACAGGACCAGCTCACATTTGGATTCTCTGTCCCTGTGCTAGTGAAGCTGCAGGGACTGATGCTTCTGAGTCACTCCACATTTAGGAATGCCACAAAATTCCCTCCTGTTCTTCCTGCTCGTGCAATGAAGAGAACATTTCTTTGTCACCAGAAGCTACAATATCTCCACCCTCATGTTGACTGGGAATGACAGAGAGAATCCCTGCTTGTGAGAGCCAGGAGCTTTAGGTCCCCTGCAGCCCAGTCCCCTATCTGTCCCCTGAGCCTGGCCCAGGATGTGCTGATCCTTCCTTGAGTCTGACATCTGCACACAGCAGCGTGTCCAGTTCCTCCTGAGGTCGCATCCTTGAGGAACTGCCGGGTTCCCAGGCACAGGAGGGAGCCCTGTCCCTTTAAGGCCCTGGCTCTCAGGGTCATAACTTATACGCAGTACCCAGTTTAATAACACAAATCATAATTACTTAAAGATTTCTAAATACATTTGAGTTTATTGGCATCTAGAGGCTACAATGCTACCCTCAATAACACCAGTTATCAAAATTACATGAAAATATCGACAAAACTCTATTTTCTCTTCAAGTACAAACTTGGAGCAATTTTTAAAAAAGTCAATTAGGACTCAACGTGGAATGAGAGCATTAGTTTGAAAAAGGGAAAACAATATACACACCAAAAAAAGATGTTTATCGTACTGACTAATTCTTCAGTCTTTAGACTGAAAATAATTTTAAGATTAGACTAACAGGAGGAAAGGCAAAAGAATCATAAATATATAATATATTGAAAAAAGCAAGGAATAAATCATCAGAATTGTGCTGAAGGGGGCATGGCAGGCCCGAGTGGAAAGAAGGAAGACAGGACACGTCCTCTCCGACAGTGTGGATTGTGGCGACCGAGAGGGACACAACCCGCAGGTACCTGGGCAGTGGGGGTGGGGGTCGAACAGCAGCGTCCCCAACACACACCAACAACACGACGTCCCGTCATTCACACAGACATTGTGTCAGTACAAACCGGCAGAGTGCAGTGAAGGTTTCGAGCATTGAACTGGGATGAAGAAGTTCTTCCATGTGAAATGGCACCACACAAGCAGAAGAAGCACGAGCACATGTCAAGAAAACCTGAAATGTCTGGCAACATAAACACAGTGAATGTGTCCTGCATGGAGCGGCTTGGAAGTCACTGGTTGTCAGGAGACAATAATGTCTTAGTTCCCAAATCCACGGAGAAGCCGACTCATTCTCCTGTTGCGGGTAGTGACATCCAAAAGGCCCCAGGGCCAAATCAGGATGCCCTGCAGGAGTGCGGGCTGTGATCTGGGGGCTGGTGGGCCCTGGATCAGAGACCAGCAGGGGGCACTGTGGGGCAGGTCCTGCCAGGACCAGCTTAGGGAAACGCCAACATGGGAAATGCTCTCCTGCCTTTTGCACACTGGGACAAAGACTTTCCCCACCACCGTGTGGTTTTTACAGATCCCTCATTGTTTATTTATTTCAGCGGAATCTAGTGTTTCACACTCATATCAGGGAACATAGTCTACAACCTGTAGCCCATTGTCTCAATGTACACCCGCAAAGTTTGTCTTAGAAAACAACATGTCATTTGATAGTCTGTCACCCAGCAGATAGTTCCTGATGCCAGGCACAGGCCTCCCAGGAGAATCCGTGACCGGTCAGGACGGCACCAGGGACACACACAGAGCTCAGCTGTGTCTGACTCCAGATGGCTGAGTGTTCCTGGGCCCATATAATTCACCACAAGGTGGATACCTGGTGTGTGCTGGGCTGAGATAGGGGTGAAGAGCACTAGAGGATGTGACTGGGAAGAGAAAGAATCTGATTAAGTGTCCGAGTTCCAGTCGCTGCACAGCGCAGGATGGGAGGGGATGAGAGTCAGGTGCGTGAGCAGGAGGAGGCGGGGGTTTGGTGAGAGATGAGCCTGGTGCTGGTCTGAGACAGAGCAGGGGAGCAGGAGAAGGACAGTCTGGTTTTCAGGGTTCAGAGGGAGGAAGTGAAGGATGGGATGTGGGAGAGGGTGGTCCTTGAAACTGGGTGGGAGGGGAGTAGCTACTCTTCCTGGTGAAGCTCACAGGCAAGTGAGTGTGGTTGTCTCAAGGTGAGCCTTGTGTGGAATCTTTACCCACACTTCCCTGCTCGTTCAGTGGTGACTCAGGGAGGTCTCTTTTCCACAAAATAGTGGACAATCACTAGTTTTCGAACTTTCTGAGGTATATTTGACCCCAGTGTCACCAGTCTAATTTTGTCCTGGAAGAGAAACCTCTGGGTATTACCAGGCATGTGACCCCACAGCAGCCTGCCCCGTGAGGACAATGGGATCCTGCTCCCAGCCAACTGGGAGCCCTGGCCTGCAGGAGATCCCTCATAGCAGCACCCTGACACCTTCACTGTGCCCAGGGAGGGGACTGTCTGACTGGTCCTGGGAAGGTGAAGCCTGTCCCTGGGGTTGGAACTGGGTCTGTCACAGGCTGACACACGGCTGGCAGGCCTGGATGGCCATCGGAGAACAAAGACAAACAGTTTCCCCAACTGGTCCCACCACATGGGTCACTGCCTTCCACCCTCATCATCGGTCAGTTGGGTCGGGTGTGTGGACACTGGAAACTGGCCAGGGAAACGGGCAAGGTGGTTCCAGTCTCACCAATGAGCAGCTCTGACCCCTGACATTTTTAATGTTCCCCAAAAGGTCAGTTCTGAGGAGAGCCACACCCCCTCCCATCTGTGAGGAACGGTCTGAAATGACATATTCCTGGGAAAGGGAGGAGGCAGCAGAAAGTCCAAACTATGGCCTCCTGTCCCAGCAGGACTCGCACGGGGAAAGCAGGTTGACAAGTGGCAATGGTGGCCAGGCCCACATCCCCTGGGCGCCTCTGCTTCCCCTGCCCCTCCCTCAGGTGAGGACAGTCCCAGAGGACCAGCACCTGGGCCTGGGGCCCCACAATCCATGATGCATCCCCTTCTGGTTTTCTTTCCAAAGTGCTTCCCCCGGTGACCTTGAAGTCATGACTGAGGATCCCCACTCACAAGGTCCTGGTCACAGGTGGTACTGTCACCGTCACTGTCCCCTTCTGTGTCCAGGAAGCTGGGATCAGAGAACCTGACTCAAAAAGTCAGATATCTGCTCTCATTCCAATATACATGGGACCAGTGGGAATTACTTATTCAGTGTATGAAACAATGAAGTTCCCACTTACTAGGTAAAGCATGGTTAAACTTACATGCATAAAATATATTTATTGTCTGCTGAAAGAAAGAAAATACATTGAAAGACTATTTTTGTGTCTTATAGAAAGACAGATTAATTTCTAACAAGGGAGGAGTCACAGTAAAAAATAAAACAGTCCTGAAAATAGGGCTCATGCTACCGTGGGACAGTCACTGCTCCAGGGAAGAGGACATGAGTGAAAGCAGCAGCGTGGTGCTGACCAAGGACCAGCCGAGGGACATGTGGACCAACTCACCCTGAGGAGTCTGAGTAGGACATGAAAGTGTCCTGGAGTGACAGGGACCCCCCATTGGGGGGCACCAGGACCACTGCTAGGAGAGCAGGTCAGGGAACAGGGCTGTGAGGAGGCAGGGTCTGTCTGTGATGGGCCTCAGCCAGCATGTCACACAGTGGTGTGTCTAGGTCTGGGCACCAGGGGGAGCTCAGGGACTGTGCCTGAAGGTCTGGGGTCATCAGAGCTGGGGCCTGTGACTTGGCACTGCCTGGTGCCCTCTCCTCAGGGTACAGCTGTGACCTTGCCACGCCCTGGGTCTCACACAGTCTCACCCCTAATCCCCCTGAAATGCCTGACAGAGGGCCCAGAGAGGGAATGGAAATCAGGGGCAAGGGGGGCAAATCTATTTGCATGAGTGGGCCCTCCCTCTGTCAGAGTATGAAGAGGGGAAGAGAGAGGTGTGGGGGAGGCTCTGCTTCAGCTGTGGGGCCACAGAAGGCAGGACTCAGGGATGGACTCCACCATGGCCTGGTCCCCTCTCCTGCTCACCGTCCTGGCTCACTGCACAGGTGACTGCATAAGGGGACAGGGGAGGAGACCTTCGGAGGACACTTGGGGGTCTTCTTCCTGCTCCTGTCTCTGGACCCAAAATCACCATCTCTGTGTGTCTCCCTCCTCCAGGGTCCTGGGCCCAGGCTGTGCTGACTCAGCCGCCCTCAGTGTCGGGGAACCCAGGACAGAGGGTCACCATCTCCTGCACTGGAAGCAGCACCAACATTGGGTATGGTGAAGATGTGTACTGGTTCCAACAGTTCCCAGCAAAACCCCCTAAAACCATCATCTATGGTACTAGCATCAGACCCTCTGGGATCCCCGACCGATTCTCTGGATCCAAGTCTGGCAGTGTCGGCACCCTGACCGTCAGTGGGCTCCAGATGGACGATGAGGCTGACTATTACTGCACAGCATGGGACAGGAGTCTCAGTGCTCCCACAGTGCTGCAGGGCCGTGGGGAAGTGTGACAAAAACCTGCTGTCCCCTGCAGTGCAGTTCCCCGGTGCAGTCCCCACTCCTCTGAGAAGACAGCTGCTTTCTCGGTTTGCTTGGCCTGAACTCAGGTCTGAAACCCAACATAGGACTTTTTCAGGAATATTTGTCACATTCTTTGAACACTGCCTCTGAGGCCTGTCTGTGGCAGCAACACCTTGTGCAGTTTTCTCAAATGAGGGGAAGGTCCTGTGTGTCAGGGGGAGGCTGTGCTAGGAACGGAATCTGTGATGGGTCAGCAAGAACCAGGGAAAGGGAACCAGCTGTGTTCGCATCACTGCACATCAGGAAGGCTGAGTGTGTGTTGTCACCAACATGTCCCACTAAGCCCCAACCCTGCCCATCACTCATGACAGATCCACCCTGTGTGGCCCATGATCCATTCCCAGGATCAGCTTTGGCAGCTCAGGGTCCCTGACCCTCACTGGCCTGAGAGCTGAGGACAAGACTGCTTCTCACAACCACCCTGTGACAGTGTCCTCTGTGCTCACACAGAGCTGCAGGCCTGTGGGACCTGAGACCAGGAGAAGCTCGTTCTCATCTGCAGGAAGGGGACTTCCCAGCATGTGCCACTCAGGACACCTGTGGCTTCTGCTTCTGGTGCGCCACCACCCTGGGCCAGGTTCTTCCATGGAAGCCCCTGGGGAATGGGTGTACCTCCCCCACCCGCTGTCCTCACAGCGCCTCACGCAGCCCCTCCCTGGACAACAGGTCTCAGACAGAACAGGACGTCAGCTCCCCATCAGCTGGGGACACAGAGTGGCTCTGCTCTGAAGCCCAGGTGCTGGAATGGGGGCACCATCTCTGGTCACTTCTGACCCAAACTCTCACTGGTCCTCCTGCGTCTCTGTCAGTGACCACTGACTTCTTTCCTGGATGTTCCAGAGCTGCCACCTTGTCATTGGCCCTCACTGTGAACCCCTGTCCCTGTAGCTCCCAGGGAGAGGCCTCTGTCCTGACTGAGCCAGCCCCGCAGCACTTCGGGCTGTGGCCGACATTTGGGGCTGGGGAATGCCCACCTGTCTGTTCCCATCAATGCAAAGATCCAACCATGGGTTCCTTCTTGTTTAACTGCATTGTTAGTACTACCTGTGTGATGTTGAATGACAACGCAGGTGAAGTCACATTGCCCGATCTTTGTGGGAATGTCGTCCTCCCGCCTCAGTAGCTGAGAGCTGAGTGTGGGGCTCACTTGTGTGTGTGAGGAGAGAGTGTGAGTTCCCGCACTGCAAATGTGCCTGCTGTTCACACTGCCTGTGTTTTTACTAGAAATATATTTCAAAATCTGGTCAAAGGTTTTTCGTGAATCTACTGAGGTCATATGATTTTATTTTTGGATCTATTAATAGGATGTATTTTATTAGTGGGTTGTTGATATGGCACCTACGTTGGATATCTGGAAGAAATCAACTGTGACAATGCTGTATCTATTTACTGGTTTGATTTTGGAATCTTTTTGTTAGCATTTTAATTAGAACATTTGCATTAATAATTTGCGTTTTTTTCTGTAATTTTCTATTTTTTGTATTTTCCCTGTCAGGTGTTGGTTTCTCCATAATACCTGCTTGCTGTAAGAATCATGAAAGCTCCCATTTGGTAAATTTTGGAAATAAATATACATATATATCAAACACATTTGAAACATCCAGTGTCTGAAGGGGTTAGTGTTTTTGCGCAACTAACTTCACCTGATGGTCTTTTTGTGAACTAGTTCCATTGTAATGTGTTTTATTTTTCTAAGGAAATTGTTCATTTCATTCAGCTTCTTGAAACCATTTCTCATCTTCCTAGAAAAATCTGCATTTTATCTTTTTTAATAATTTTTTTTCATTTTCATAGTTTCCTCATAGCATTTTTAATTTTTTACATTATTAATTTTCACCCCAAATCTAGAAAGTGGTTGTTCTCATCTGTCATCTGAACGTGAATTCCATGTGCCAGTTACAGCTACTGCTGTGATGTCTCCTTCGGGTGTATTTGCATTTAGTGTAATGAGGAGATGCTGTTTCTCGTGTGTCTTTTTCATTTTCTTGTACATGGCAGAGTTCTCAATTTCTCACTCTTGATTCTTTTTCTTTTTAACTTATGGTAAATTCTCTTCCAGTATTTTAACAAATAAGTGTCAAGAGATATAAAAAACCAACAAACTAGTGAAATCTCACTGTGGCCCAAATCTGAGAGCCACTTTCTTCACTCACCCGCATGTCAACCTGAAGGTCAATGGGACCTGGACAACCTCTTGTAATGAAATCTTAGGGCTCAGGGACTCCACTGGGGCCCCAAGGAGGACCCCTGCCCCCTCCAGGACCTCTGTAGTGACAGCATCAGGGCCAGCCTGGGCAACACCACTCTGGGACATGAACTATAATACTGACATTGACCCTCAGAGATGGAAACTGAGAGGGAAAATGTGAAGAAACCGTCTCCGTGTGGACAGAAACATAAAGAATGTGTCCTCCATCAGTGCCCAGAGTCCCATAAGCTGCACAGACTGCAGCGGGTACCATGAGGTTCAGCCTCTATTCTGGTGCTCGCCCCCATGAAGGGGCTGACAGAATTCCAGGAAGAGCGGGTCTTTGGGAGATGGAACTTGATATCCTGGGCCCTAAGAGAGTGACCTTGCTGTCACCATCTCCCCTGTCCCTGCTTGTCCTTTCCCTGCCTCTGGGATGCAGCTTGCAGCAGGGCCCCATCTGCCAAGTGCTGAATCCTCTACTCTGAAGGGTCTGCCCTAGAAGCCGGTGGATCCTTCCTCCTGAGCTACTCCTTATCAATGAGAAAGGCCCATCTTGACATCTGCCTGGGGTCTGAGTATTATGTGCAAAATGCTCATTGCACTGCAGCCCCTGCATCACTGAAGCAGCAGAACCACCTCCTCCAGGGCCCACAGAGTAAGAAAACTGCTATTGCTGCGGAAATGCTGAGCCTGCTCTAGGCATGTGGGTGAAGTGGGTCCATGGATGAGATGCTCTCACAGCTGCCACCACTCAGGGCCTTGGGGACGCTGGTGAGTGGGGTTGACTGAGCCCACAGGCACTGTGTCCCCCTGTCCTCTCGTATCCCACTGGAGTGTGTGAACAGTCTGGGTTGGGGGCTGGGCTGTGGGACAGCAGGAGCGGGCGCTCCCCCTGTTCATGTGTCACACCCCCTGTGTGGCTCTTGATGAGCCCAGATACGACATGACCTTCTCCTGAACATATGTCGGCAAACACATTGAGTGTTACCATGGCATTGGTCCCAAAATCTGAGGTCAGATATAGTGAGGACATAAACCAACATTTTTGGAGTATGGGTCTGATAGCTTATTTAGCTTACCTTATTTAGGATTGGGTGTAGTGTGGTAGCATGAAGATATTTGAATTCTTAAGTGTAGGTTCAACTCCTATAGAAATAAGGGGATTTTAGCCCCTATGATTTACATTATCAAAGTACCTTTTTTATCAGACATATTTGTTATGTTTGAGGGGGAATGCTGGCTATCATGATTGGTATAGTTACGTATAACAATAATATAATATCTGGGACAAAGGTCCCTGAGAGTCATCCCTGTTCACCAGCTCCTACTTGGTGCTCACAGCCTCTTTGACCACCTGTGAGGACCAGCCTGATGAGGAGACTGATTAGCACAGTCACAGGCCTTCATAACCCCCGGCCACAAAGAGCTCCCATGCCACATGGATGTGAAGTGAACATCTGCCCTCCCCTCTCTGTTGACCCGTCACTGTCCTGTCCCCAACTGTGACCAAGACTGATTCAGGTTTCGGCTTCTGTTATCACTTGTACTGTCAACCCAGAGACCTCATGGTCTCACCCCTGTCTGTCTTTATGGGCTCAACATAAATGCCTGATTTTCTACGTGGTTGCCTAATGTAAACAGGATCACTGTGTACCCGGTTTTGGAGTTCCTGGTTGCATGACAACAAAAACAGGGTTCCCACACCTGTGACCTGGCTGCCCTGGGGCCCCGGCTCCCAGGCAGGGACCCAGAGACCTGGGAGTGTTAGGAAACACTGTGTCGTCTCTCATGGCCACACTGGAGAAATGATTCACACGATATTGCATATTATATTTGAACAGCATTGCCTTTTTATATTTCAGAATACATCACCTTAATCAAAATCCCTGGACTAATTGATCTATAAGTAATGTGCAGTTCATCTTGAATCTGCAGTCATCTCGATACTGGATGTAGAATCACAAGTGAGTGATGACGCACCCTGTGTTTCTGCTGTGATGTCTGACAGAATGAGAGGTGAGTTCTGTTTACTTTCCTGTTTGCCATCACAGCTCTTTACGGCTGTAGTTTCAAAGCTCAAAAACGCAATTCTGGCCTCAGGTGGACTTTTTAAATTTATTTTAGTAAACAGTGTAAGTGGGAAATAATAATGAACACACAGTTTGAAAGAAAACAGAGAAGAAACATTCCCCAACATACTTTGTGAGACCATGTTTTCCTGTTACTCTAACCAGACAAAAAATTCTCACCCATGATTCTAGCTACTCAGGGGTGAGCTGAACTTGAACTTCATCAGCCAGCCTTGAGACTGAATGAAATGGCACAAGGCAAAGCTAGTCTGCTCCCTTGCGCCCCCTGATGGTGAGTGTGGGAACCATGGAGAGCACAGTAAAGAACCCCACCAGCATTAACAGCACTGAATAAAGGTTACTGGATGAGATGGGGGAGAAGAGTTAGCACTGTAGGTGCCCCTCCCCTCCTTGGTGTCACTAGGCCCAAAAAGTCTAGTGGGGAGTAAGCACAGAAACTCGCCTCAGCCCTGTGCTTCTCTCCTTGAGGTCAGCAGGGACCAGCAGGTGACAGGGGTGTGATTGTCACCTGCTTGAAGGGAACCAGCAGGTGACAGTCACTGCCTCACTGTCCCCAGGAAAGTGTCAGAGCACAGAGCAGTGGAATTACGGCTTCTCCCCGCTGGGGCCAGTGGGAGCTGAACACCCACCCCCTGACCTTCTGAGCTGCAGCTCTGCAGGAGGGTGGCCTGAGGGAACACAGAGGAGATGGGACTCAAGGGCTCCTCCTGTGACCCCCCAAAGTCCAGGATCCAGTAAAACCCCACCTGATTTTTCAAGAAGCAGGAGATAAAAACTTGAATGAGAAAAGAGATTAACCTGACACAGACACTGAGAGGACTGTGATGAGGAGACACAGTGACAGATATCAGTCTGGCAGTGACCCTCAAATCCATCTGAAGGGCAACAGTGAAAGTTCTTGGTACAAATCGAAAAGGAAAAACTCACAATTTAAATAGAAGTCACGAGAACAAATCAAGTGGGAATTATAGAACTGAAAACACAAAATGTAAAATTAAAAAAGAAAACTGTGCAAGAAATCAGGAATAGGTGAACTACTTTCATTTATTTCTTTGTTTATTTATCCATTCAAAATGGGCACCATCTTTCTGCAGTTCCCATCACCCTAAATGTTCCCCAGAGCATGTCGCCAGGGGGCGCTGTGGGTCTTCTCAGAGGTGTATGGCTGCAACCACTCAGATGGTTCTAATGGAAAAGGCCCTGTGCCCACTTTCATGGCCTGAGTGACACCTGACAGATGGCAGGAGCTTCCCCTCAAGGGACA